TCAGCACAACAACTTTCGCTTTTTAAAAACTAATCTTGTCGTTGAACGCTCAAATTATATCACAGTGCATTTTGGGCTGATTTACAAGCATCACTCAAAAACTCAGAACTGAAACCAAAGCACCTTCACTCTTAAAAAATGTTCCTCGGCGACCCTGAAGGAAGGAAGATACCTTAGTTAAACAGCAGCATGAAAACTTCCGAGTGCTGAGAGCGAATGTACTGCGTGTGCGGTGTTCTCTGAGAGACCAGAGGAACAGGATTTGCCTTTCTACTGTGTGCGCACAGCTGTGAAGCACTGAAAAACTCATGTACCGGATAAAAATTTAGAATAAGCTCCCTAGCTTGGTATGTTTATTACTATTATTATTATTATTATTATTATTATTATTATTATTATTATTATTATTCAAAACACTTTCCGCGCTAAACGGCGGCACGGAAAAGCTGTGTTTGACCAAGACGTCTCCGCCCGTGAGCGGCGGCGCGGTATCGCCCCGCCGGTCTCCATGCATCCCCCTGCCCGGCGGACCCGCGGCTGCTGCACGGGGCTGTCGCCGGCAGCAGAGAGCAGGATCGCCCCCCTCAACCCGAGCCGAGGGCGCCCGCGGGGCGCGGCGGGGTCCCGGCGGCGGCAGCGCTCCGGAACAGCCGGGACCCGCGCGGGGGCTGGGGCGGGTGGCCCCTCGGCCGAGGCAACCGAACCCCGCTGCGGGGCTGCGTCTCCCCTCGGGCTCGCCGTCCCGTCCCGTCCCGTCCCGCACCGGCGTTACCTTCTCCTCCGCTACTGCTGCTGCCGCTAGTCGTGCCTACTCTGCCGGAGCACCGAAGCGCCGCCCCCGGGGCCGCACGGGATCCCCCGCCCCGAGGCGGGCTCAGCGCTGGGGTGGTGGACGCGCCTGGCGTGGGCTGGGCCCAGGGCGGCGAGCACCGAGGCGGCCCGACTGACCTCTCTCCTTCCCTTCTCGTCCCTCCCTCCCTTCCCGTCCCTTTTGCCGGCGCCCGGCCCGGCAGCGGCTGCAGGCGGGGGCCGCCCCGTTCCTGTGGCAACGCCCGTTCCCGGGCGGCGGCCATGGGCGGCTGGGCCGCGGCGCCATGGCGGCTTGGTGGCTGCAGCGGGCGCGGCGGCCTCCGCGACGCTGCGCGGCTGTGGGACAGCTCCCGCCCCGGCGCTGGGGACCGGGCGGCGACCCTGAGCGACCTCCTGCAGAGCTCGGTGGAGGCCGAGGAGCCGGGCGCGGCAGCGGCGAGGCGGGAGCGGCGGTGCCCCCGGGAGGGCACGGTGCTGCTCTTCCCCGGGCAGGGCAGCCAGTTCGTGGGGATGTGCCGCGGGCTGCAGCAGTACCCCGGCGTGCGGGAGATGTACCGCCTGGCCGAGAAGGTGTTGGGCTACGACCTGCGCTCCCTCTGCCTGGAGGGGCCGCGGGACGCGCTGGACCGCACCCAGCACTGCCAGCCCGCCGTGTTCGTCGCCTCCCTGGCCGCCGTGGAGAAGCTCAACCACCTGCAGCCTAAAGTGAGGGGCCGCGTTGGGCGCGGGGGGTCGGGGCGGCGGCGCCTCGGGCCTGGCTCGCGGTGCGGCTGAGGCGGCGCTCGGCTTTTGTGTTCCCGCAGGTCGTGGAGCGCTGCGTGGCGGCCGCCGGCTACAGCGTGGGGGAGTTTGCGGCGCTGGTCTTCGCTGGAGCCCTGGACTTTGCTGAAGGTGCCTGGGGAACGTACGGAGCTCCCTGCTAGGATCTCCCAGCCCGGGCCCGTGCTGTTTCCAAAGCGTTGCCTGTTATCACTGTGTCCCTCCCGCTTTTTATTTTTAATTAGAGAACAGATTTTACTTTCTGCTTCCACTGTTCGCTTTAACATGTGTAATGCGGCATTAAAAGCATTGAGTTTCACGAGAGTGAGCAACTGCTATTTCTTGCGCGCAGGTGCCCGCCCTCACGTTCACGCAGCATCTCTGTTTCTCTCCGTAGCGCTGTACGCGGTGAAAGTGCGCGCCGAAGCCATGCAAAAGGCGTCGGAAGCTGTCGCCAGTGGAATGCTTTCGGTTGTCGGCCGGCGAGAGGCAAATTACAAATTTGCCTGCCTGGAAGCCCGTAAACACTGTGAATCGCTGGGTATAGAGAACCCCGTGTGCACAGTTTCAAACTATTTGTTTCCAGACAGCAGAGTCATTGCAGGACACTTACAGGTATTGCTTCAAGTGTAATTATTTCTTCAGCTGAACTGAGCATTTCACTTTTCAAGAACTTTTACTTTGCACTTCTGTGTGGGTGTTATGTACAGCCTTAGTTTGTCCAAACAAAAGTATTTGATCTGTGGGTTGGTTTTTTTTTTCTGGTATGTGTTCAGTTGTTTGGTGGGGAAAGAAATACCTTTATCACAGTAAGTCAATGAGGTGATTCTTGTGGGGTGACTGAGCAAACCCTTGTTGTGCAAGACTCACTTCTCTCTCTCTTTTATAGGCTTTGGAGTTTTTGCAGGAGAATGCCCGAAAATATTATTTTAAACGTACAAAAATGCTTCCAGTCAGTGGGGCTTTTCATACCAGCCTCATGGAACCAGCAGTAGAGCCACTGGCTGAAGTCCTAAAATCAGTTGAAATTCAGAAACCGCTGCTCTGTGTGTATTCCAATGTCGATGGCAAAAAGTACATGCATTCAAAGCACATTCAAAAGCTGTTAGTGAAGCAGGTGGTGTCACCTGTTCTGTGGGAGCAGACCATGCACTCAGTGTACGAAAGAAAGCAAGGAACAGAATTTCCTTACACATATGAAGTGGGGCCCGGGAATCAACTAGGAGCCATTCTCAAACAATGTAATTTGAAGGCCTGGAAACAATATAAACATGTAGATGCTCTGGAAGATGAGGAAGCAGTGAAGACTTAAATAACCTCTTGAGAAAAATCCACACAATTCCTTTTTTTTCTGATTTAAAACTTTGTGCTCCCAAAAGAGGAAGTCTTAAATATTCTTATGTTGTAAAGAGAACTATGTGTGTAATTGCAATGAACATTTTCCTTTGAGTTCCTCAGGTGTGGAAAGGGGAGAGCAAAGTTTGGCCTTCCATCTGTGTTGGGACCGCAGTGCTGTCAACAAACAGGCCAGGTAGCATTGTTTGGCTTCAATCCTGCAAGCAACTTTTTTCTCTTGGGTTTTTTTTTTGTTTGTTTTTTTTCAGTTGGTTGTTTTTTGGGGGAGTGTTTTGGATGTGGATTCAGGTTCCAGTTGGTAGCCCTGGCTGTCTGATGCAGGGATCTTCTGCTGGAATGTGGGGGTTGTTGTTGGCTCCAAGTTGTAGAGGGCTCTGTTCTGGGCTGGAGGGTGCATTTAGAGGAGCCATTTCTTGGGATGGCTTTCAGGTGTGTTAATGTTCCCATTTTCTTACTCAACTGACTTGTGGGGTATTCATTTATGTGAAGTTCTCTTACTTTGTGTCCACATTGCCAGGTAGCAGCTGAGTGAGGCAAATGATGTTACTAGAAAAATTATTTTCTTATGGTTAAACTATAAATAAACTATGAAGCTTTTCTTGCTCTTTTTAATGCTTTGGGGTGCATCATTATTGGCTCTGTCCGCATGTGGATGGAAGTAACTTTCCCTCCAGTTGTCCAATGCCACATTGGTTGTGCTGAGTTACACAAGAAACGTTCACTGGGAAAAAAAACTTAACAAAAATATTATGTTCATTTCCTGGCAGTAGGAAATTATGAACTAGAGAGCAGCAGGTTGTCCCAAACCCTCCTGGAAAGAGCTTCCCATTTCCCAGCTTGTATATTTCTTTTTGGTATTTTAATGCTGTATTTAGCAGATATATAGAAAAAAATTAGGATATATTACTTAAATCAAATGACTGACAATGTCTTCAGTAGTGTATTATGAAATGCAGGAGAACTTCCAATTACAGTACCAATCATTCTGTAATTTCACACTTGTGACAGGGAGAGTGAATTGAAAACACTGGCCCTTATTATTGTTGCTAAGTGGGCCATATTATTAAACAGTTCTTTCATGGACTGCAGCTGGCAGCTGTGCCTCCCCTTCTATTACAAATTCCACTTCTAGCATGTGTGAACATTAACAATCAGTAAAATACTATAGAGTTTTTCAGCTTCACCATTGGACTGCTAGAAGCTGATGATTAAGGGTTGGAATAACTGTAAAGAAAATTATTATTTCAGTGAAGGTTCCTATGTTACAGGTAAGACATTAATTACTCAGAAAAGCATACCAAAGTCTTCAGTTAGAATTATCGGTTAGAATATTGCAACTAAGTCCCATTCATATTATTAAACACTGTTGTCCTGTGTTAGAAGTTTCTGACCACACCTTTTAAGACCAAACACAACGTTCATGACTTTCAAACCAGGTTTTAAGATAGCTGAAACTGAGTGTGGTATGTTGGTGGCACTAATTTTAGTGCTTTAAAATTTCTGGACTTTCTTTTTAATTATTTAACCTTTCTGAGGGAATGTTGGAGACCTGTTTTCTATTTGTAGTGTTCTTGCCATAATTTTTTTCATTTTTTTCCCCCCTCATTTCATTTTGTTGTACACTTTGCTCGGAATTAAAGCTCTTTGGGAAATCCAATCTAGAAATCTCTTGTTTGCGAACCATTAGATAACCTTTGCACTTTTGTCAGCTGCAAAATGCTGAAGGGAAATCTGTATCCTAAGGGCATTCCAGTCTTGTGGGTCTTGGTTAATTAGTGGGAAGAAGGACCCATCACCACTGTTGGGTGTTTGCTTTTCTTCTGTGCAGTGGTTGGAGCTGAGGCTTCTCTTGAGTGAACTTTGTGTCTCCAAAAGAAGAAGCCAGAGGGAATCATGCTCTTGTGTTGATGTTGCAATTTCTAGGAGCAGAAAAAGTGTGATGGAGGTCTTTGTATCTCTGTATGGAGAGTATTCAGGGCTTGATTTTGTGTGGTGCCCATTAGCACAGCCTCACCTCACATGCACTTTATCATTGGCTGTGGCTGGGCACACAGTGCCCAAGTAATTACAAATCCTAGATCTCAGAGCATTTATTTAATGTGTTTGCTCATCTATCCCCTCTGCTTCTGGAAACTGAATATTTGAGAGGTGAGAAACCAGCATGGCTTCTTTGCCTATGAACAAGCAGAAACAGGATGTGGAAGAAAATCAAGTGCCATAAATGCTGTCACATATGAGAAAGTGTGCAGTGAAAAAGAAACAGAATTAATGTTGGGTCTCCTGGGTCACTGTGGGGGTGTGACTGAAGGATTAACTAACTGTGCTCCACAGGTGAAAGAGGAGCCTGGCACTCACTGCTCCATGGTACTCCAGTTAGTGCTGATTGCTGTGGCTTTGGATGCCATTTGTGTTGTGTTTAACTTGTTTCTTTGCTGGGATTGAATTTTGTATTCCTTGAGACTGTGTTTTTCCCCATACATGGTGGATGATGAAATTCCCCTCTCTTGTGATTCAAAGCCTTACGTTATGGATTACAAGAATGGGAAAAAGCAGAGTCACCCCACACAGCTCTTGGATGAAATAGGCAGTGAAGAGTCTCCTGTTCATCATCGCTCCCCTGTGCATAAAGGTTATTTATCTGGAAACAATTATTAAATTGTAGTATAGTATTTATTTAGGTAGTATTAAATTGATTCAGCTGGGAAGAGTCAATTTTTTCATAGCTAGTACTTTTATTACACATGAATAATTTATTAGACCCTCCTGATGTTAAATTTTACCCTTTACTAAATAATAACTTTAGCATATTTTTCTATCACACTGCTATTATGGAGCTCAGCAGAGCAGTCAATTCACTGATAAAACTTTAGTCTGTTTTTTTGGCTATGCGTGCCAACTTCTGGCCTGTGTGTGACTCCAGTTCCAGATGTATTAACTGTGCTTTTCTAGAAAAA